GAGAGACACAATGCAGTCAATGCTGGAAAGGATCAATGCTAACCACTGCTCCACCTTGCCGGCCTTATTACCAGCTCACAAGCCAGAACATTATTAAAATAAACAGTATTTTGTGTTTTGGGATGGTTTTCCTGGGATTATGTGCATTAAATTAAAATTCTGTAAAATTACTATGTAAGTGGTATGATGAGCAAAGTCAACAGCTGGTAGCCAACATCTGTAAGTAATCATAATAAGTTCAGATCCACACCAGAGATTCTTCTGCTGAGTGAAATATTAATAAGAAAATGAAAAAAAAAACCATTGCGGGGGAAAAAAAAAACAATAAGAATCTCCCAGGTTATACACTACATGATGTAGGAAAATAGATTCTTCTTTATTAATTGTTGGTGTTCTTTGTAATTTCAAGAATTAATACAGAGATCATCCTGTTTGTTTTCACTACTGCCATGACAACAGTATTATTGGAATGTTCCAGTGCTGTAGTGACAGTAGCAGGAAAAGATGTAGTGACAAAAGTAGTGCAGTAGTGACAGCAATAATCACAGTAATAGTGACAGTATTAGCAACAGTAGTGACAGCAGTGACTGTAGCAATAAATGTTGTAGAGACAGTAGTAGTATATAGTGGTAGTAGTGTCAGCAGTAGCAACTGCAAAAGTGACAGTAGAGACATTTTAAGTGACAGTATTAGTGAGAGCAGTAGTGACAGAAGTGACAGTAGTACTGACAGTAGTAGTGCAGTGGTGGCAGTAGTGACAGCAGTGGTGTGTGCCTGTGCTGTTGGTATCTCAGGGCTGAGTATCACTAGAAGATCAGTGTTTACAGGCTGAATGTAATGTGAAATAATGAAAGTGTAACAAAGCATAGTTCAGGACTCTATGGAGACGGTATAATCTGGAAGTACTGTAAGTGGAGAAGAACATCAGGGGAAGGTACAGCAGGATAGGACAGGTTGATAGACAGGGAGGCATGATGACTGTGATCCGGTGCTCAGGTGGCGTGGTTCTGCCAAACAAGTTCAGACAGTCCAAGTGGGGAATCCGGGGATTAGTTCAAAGTCCAAAACCGGGGGATCCATCAAAGACGAGACAGTTAAAATCAAGAACAGGATCTGGAACAGGGACAGGGAATAAAACCAAGGTAATGAGGCCAGGCGCTCAGATAG